GCCCCGTGGCTCCTTGGCCACTGCCATGGTGCTGGGCGCGGGATGCGGGGACAGTGAGCGTTTCCGGGCCTCTGGGGTCCTTCTGCCTGGCAGGGCGGAGAGGAGAGCTCCGGGTGGGTGGTGGGGAGGGCGCCGGGGTGGGGTGAGGCTGCTGGCCGCGCTGTGCTCAGGCCTTTGGCCTCGCGGCGGCAGGGGCGGCCTGGACTCGCAGTGGAGATGTCTCTACCTCCTGCAGGCTCGCCCCTTGGCTTCTGGTAGTCTATGGTGGAGCCGGTGCCCGTGAGCGTGCCGGCAGGGGCGCCCTGGCCACCTGGGCTGCTTCTAGGCTGGGGCCGCTGGCCCAGAGGCTTCCGTTCCCCTGTGTGGGCAGATCCTCCCAGGGGAAGAGACCCAGGAGCTGTTGGAGGGAGGGGGGCTCATCCTTTGTGCCCTTTTCTTATCCCCCCTCCCATTCCCCCATTCTTGGTGCAGGTGTGACCTGGGCGTGCTGTCTGCAAGGCACAGTCATCCTCTCTGTGATGGGCAGGCTCTGTGGTCCAGCCGCTCCTTCTCAGGAGTGCTCCCGAGGCCTGCCTTGCTCTGGGAAGAGTAAGCCACCTGCTGGAGGTTGCCACGCCCCCACTGTGCAGTGAGGGATTTGAAGAGTGCGTCTCCCTACCTGCTGTCCGAGGGGACAGGGCTGCGTCTCCATCCGTGGCCAGTTCCCCTTGCTGCCCAGCTGGGTTGGCTTCTCCTGTGTTGGCTTTGCTGGCTGCCGCAGTCGACAGCCAAAGGCCTGTTGCTTAACGGGAGGTGACTTACGCGGCACCCACCTGTGGCAACCTTTGGTAGCCCCTGCACGTGGGCCGAGGGCTGGGCCCCTCTGCCAGGGCGGCAGGGAGCATTTGGAACCCCTGACCGGGTTGGCCCAACAGTGCCTTTGGCTGCTCCACTCTCAAAGGATCTCAGAGCGGAGGGCTTTTCATCCAAATGACGCTGGCTGGTTGACACTGTAGCTGCGATGGCCCCAGGCCCCTGGCCATAGGGCATCTGGCAGAGCCACTGCAGCCTTGTCCCATAACGGGGCTGGACACTGTCAGTGCAGGACGCCCAGTGGTGTTGGAGACCGCCAGCTGCCTTTGCTTTGTCTCTTGCCGAAGCGTTCTCCCAACAGAGAGGGCTTGAGCGTGAGTGTACGTCCCCCAGGGCGGAAGTTTCACACAGGCTGTGGGAGATGTGCTATGTAGACAGGGACACTGGAGACCCAGTGGTGACCAGTCCGAGGAGGAGAGAAGGAGTAAGGCTGGGAAGCAAGGCTAGGCTGAACTGCGGGTGTCCTGGTGACTTCTTAAAGGGACCTGTGCCCCCACTGGTAGTCCCTACAGTACCTGGAGCACAAGCCAACCCTGATGGCAGGAGAAAGAGAGGATTCATCCGTCTCTCCCTCCTTTCTTTTCCTTTCCTTTCCTTTCCTTTCCTTTCCTTTCCTTTCCTTTCCTTTCCTTTCCTTTCCTTTCCTTTCCTTTCCTTTCCTTTCCTTTCCTTTCCTTTCCTTTCCTTTCCTTTCCTTTCCTTTCTTTCAAAGATTGATGTATTTGAAAGTCAGAGTCACACAGAGAGAGGAGAGGCAGAGAGAGAGAGAGAGAGAGAGAGAGGTCTTCCATCTGCTGGTTCACTCCCCAGTTGGCTGCAATGGCTGGAGCTGTGCCGATCAGAAGCCAGGAGCCAGGAGCTTCCGGGTCTCCCATGTAGGTGCAGAGGCCCAAGGAAATGGGCCATGTTCTGCTGCTTTCCCAGGCCACAGCAGAGAGCTGGATTGGAAGTGGAGCAGCTGGGTCTCGAACCGGTGCCCATATGGGATGCTGCCACTTCAGGTCAAGACGTTAACCCACTGAGCCACAGTGCTGGCTCCCCTTCTTCCTTTCTAAAAGATGTATTTATTTGAAAGGCAGAGTGACAGAGAGACAAAAACAGATCTTCTATCAGGTGGTTCATTCCCCAAATGGCCACAGTGATTGCAGCTGGGCCAGGCCAAAGCCAGGAGCCCAGAAGTTCATCCAGGTCTCCTACATGGGTGGCGGGGCCCAAGAACTTGGGGCCAGGTTTGGTTGATGCTCAGGAGCATTAGCAGGGAGATGGATTGGAAGTGGAGTGGCCGGGCCTTGAACCAGCACTCTGATATGGGATGCTGACGTTACGGGCAGTGGCTTGACCCGCTGAGCCACAGCGCTGGCCCCTGAAAGAGGATTTCTGTGAACAGTCCACATGCCATCATGTCTGGTCTTCACAGCCACCTGCAGGGGAGGATGTGGGTCCATTTTGCGGATTGGGAAAACAGACTCAAAGAAGTCAGGTTTCCCCCCGAGATTACATATGTAGGAAAGGGTGGAACCAGCTTCCTCTTCTTCTGAGCCTAGTTCCCCAGGGCCGGCCACAGGGAGAGGGGGAAGACACCTTTCTGTTGGGACAGAGCCCTTGCCTGCCTGGGGCTGGGGAGGCCAGGATGGAGGAGGGTACCTGCAGGGGTCCTGAATCAGCCACTTTCAGCTGTAGATTCTGTGACATTTCTGAATTGCTCTAGGCCTTGGCTTTGACACCTGCCCCTTGTGGATGGAGGGGGGGGAGGGATCCAGCAGATACACAACCCTCCCCCCCCACTGAGATCTCTGCCATCTGTGAACTGTCTGGGGTGCCTAGCCTTGGGCATGGGGCAGCTGTCTGGTGAAGCAGGCACAGCGGGTCCCTTGCCGCACTGGTGGCTTGTCACTGGGTCTCGTCCCACCTGCAGCCTCAGCCTCCTGGGGCTGTTGGTGATCGTCCCCTTCGTGGGCAGCCTGAGAAGCGGCTAGGAATTGGTCAGGGTGGGGTGGGCGTGGAGCGGGCTCTGCTCCCACTCCTTCGTTTATCCCCCTGGCCACGGCACCATGGCGAGTGCCAGACCCAGGCAGGGCGTGGGGCGGGTGGCAGTTGCCAGGATGGGGTCTGCATGCATGGTGCATGGAGGAGCAGAACACCCCCACCCCCACCCCCGCCGCCAATTCCTGGGCCCGATTCCTGGCTTAGCTCCTCCCCAGACATGGAACCTTGGGCAAGTCCAGGAACTTCTCAGAGCTCTGGTCTTCTCATTTGTAGAGTGGGGAGGACTTATCTCACGAGGTTGCCCTGACAGATAAATGAGACATGAGTGGTCAGGCAGTGGCCCGTGCCTGGTGCGTGGTGGCTGATGGGGCGGGCAGTCATTGTGATCGGCTTCCTTCTCTGTTTATTGGGTTCATTTTAGGGCTCCCTTTGGGCCAGAGGCGTCCCTTGGCCACTCATCCTTTTCCTGTCTCTTCAGGGAGCAGCTGGGATAGGGCACTCCCCGTTCAGAGCTGCATGGCGTGGTATGGCTAGTTGAATTGCAGTTCCCTAAGTTAAAATAAAGCCACAGATTCAGTTCTAGTCACAGCAGCCGCTTGTCACATGCCCAGATGCCACTTGGGACCAGGGCCTGCCTGTTGGACTGGGCAAGGTAGAACCTCTGTGTCGCTGCTGGAAGCTGTGCAGACCTGGGCTCCCAGGGCACTGTGGCTCCCGAGCCGTCCTCACTGCTGGCTCCAGAGGCCACTGTCGTCCCCAGAGCCCTTGGGCAGCAGGAAGGTTGCAGTGACACAGAAGCCCCTCCCACATTGCCTCGTGGCTGGCCTGGCTGGCCTGGCTCACCTGGCCAGGGTGGTTGGTTTCCGGCAGTCCTCATCCGCCCCGGGGTGGGAGGGCGTGGCCGGGATTGCCTGCCACCCCTGCCCTGTTTCTCCAGCTCATCCTGCCTGGCAGGGAGACCTGGCATGATCTTCATGTATAGCCTGGCCAGCCTCCCCCGATACTCCCCCTGCCCGACTCCAAACCACTGTCCCCGAACACTGGCCTCTTGCCTTTTGCCTGCCCTGTTCCTTCCATCCGGGCACCCTCCTCCTTTCCTGTGCACCCCCATCCCCCACCCCGGCCCGGCCTTGCTCTCTCCTGCAGGAAGCCTGTTCTGATTTGCCACCAGACATGCTTGCTGCCTGGCCATGCCGTCCCGCAGACCCATGGTGGACTCTCTGTGCCTTCCCTCTGTGGGTCTGTTTCTCTCAAGCCTGCAGTAGACCTCTGAGTACCCGCCATAGTCAGGGCAGCCCAGGGCACTGGTCCCACGGAGGGGGTGCAGAGGATGGGATGGGTGGATGCAGCTCCCTGCGGGGCAGGGGACCCTGCTGACTCTCGGCCAAGACTGCACAGCCTGAGAACTGACAGCAGCAGCGGGAGCTCACAGCAGAGAGAGCTGACGTCTCATGGAGGCGATGGCTGGCTCAGGTGCTGGCATCTCCAGGGGCACCGCCAGGTCTGGATGAGCCCCGTGGGGCCTAGCTGCAGAGCCTGGCACACAGGAGGGGCTTGGGAGCTGGCTGTGGAATGAATGAATGAATGACTCTGCGTCAGTTGCATGCATCAAGAGTGGCTTTGGGGGCCCCTCCCTGCCCCTGCGGGCCCCGGAGCTGGAGAGGGGAGGCCTAGAGATGTGACAGCGTGGCCAGTGTGGGCTATCCCAGAGCTACTCAGAGCCCCACTCTGTATCAAAGAACCAAGGAGCCTCTGTGGACTCCGCCAGCCCCAGGTGGGTGGGGATGGGAAGCAGGCTGGTACTCAGCTGTCCAGCACCGGTCATTAAAGGCCTATTCTGCTTCCTGCTGGCTGGTTCAGAGCTCTCGTCCCAAAGCACCCTCCCCAGGGCTGGGGTCCCACCCTCAGAGCCTCTCCCTAGAGCACCGCTCCCCCCACCCCCCACCCCCGCCGTGGGTGGCCTCCAGGCCCCTGCGGCCGCTGAGTGCCGGTTGTTACAGATCTGCAGTGGCATCGCTGTGTGTACTGGGTCGTGACCTTGACTTGAAGTTGTCTGGTTGCTGTCGGACTTAAAGGCTCTGACCAGTCAGGCAGGCTGGGACTGAAGCGGAGGTGCTGGCGCCCCACTCAAACTTTCCTCTCTTGCTCTCTCTCCCCTGCAGGCAGCCATGAGCTCCAGCCACCCTGAGCCAGGGGCCCAGGCACCCCAGAGCCCCCGCCTGCAGCCCCTGTCCCGGAGCTCCTCCAGCCTGCTGGGCGAGGGCCGGGGGCAGAGGCTGGAGCTCCGCAAGAGCGCCAGCAGCACCGTGTGGCGGGTCCAGCCGGGTGAGGCCGGTGCCGGAACCCAGGCCCCGGAGGAAGAAAGCTGTCACACCGAGAGCACAGAGCAGGCCCAGGCCTCCAGTCCCCGGCCGTCACCTCCTGCGGGGGGCCAGTGGCGCAGCAGCACCGTGGGTAATGTGTCCAGCATGGGCAGCGGGGACCTGGGTCGCCTGCGAGCCCCCAGTGCTGCCGCCGTGCAGAGGAGCCACTCGGATCTGGTCCGCGGTACCCAGGCCCGGGGTCATGGCGGTGCTCGGAAGGCCAGCCTCAGCTGCTCGGCCCTTGGCAGCCCGTCCGTCAGCAGGGCTCAGCTACAGCCTGGCGCTACTTCTGCCCAAGGTGACCACGTCCCTGGAGGCCCAGAAAGGGACCTGGCTGCAGAGGATGGGGCTTCTAACTCAGCCTGGGTGCTGGGGGGCAGTCAGGCGTGGGTGCTGCCTCGAGCCCTGGGAGGTACCACTCCCCACAGCGGCAGTGCCCAGGCTGAGCCCCGAGCCACCGGGCAGCCGGCTGCCACGTCCTGCCGTACCCTGTCCCCTGCAGCTGTCCTCTGCGGCATGAGGGAAGCCGGAGCCGGGTGCTGCTGCCACGCACTGCCCGCCACAGGGATCCTGGCCTTCCCCAAGCTTGTGGCGTCCGTCAGTGAATCTGGTCTGCAGGCTCAGCACGGAGTCAAGTTCCACTGTAGGTTGCCCGTGGGGCTCCCAGGCCACTCGCACTGCTGTGCCCACCCTTGGGGTCCCCCCGGCGTAGCCACCGAGCCCGGCTCCAGGACCAAAGACATGTGGACCATGACCTCTGCCAGTGACTTGGCCCCAGCACTGATGTCCCCTCCGCCAGCCCAGGATGCTGGGGTGCAGGTGGCCCCCGTGGCAGCCTGCAAGGCTGTGGCCACCAGCCCTTCCCTGGAAGCCCCCAGGGCCCTGCACGTGTTCCCAGAGGTCACTCTGGAGTCCGGCCAGGAGGAGGCGCCGTCCCCGGTGCGAGACGTGCGCTGGGATGCTGAGGGCATGACCTGGGAGGTGTACGGTGCTGCGGTGGACCCCGAGGTGCTCGGCGTGGCCATCCAGAGGCACCTGGAGATGCAGTTTGTGCAGCTGCAGCGGGCGCCTGCCAGTGAGGACAGCCTGTGTTCCGAGGGCCGGATGGGGCCGCTGCGGGCCGTCATGCGGTCCCTGCGCCGCCCCAGCTGCTGCGGCTGCTCTGGTGGTGCTGCCCCTGAGTGAAGCACCGTGGCTCCGCAGCCGTCCTGGGTCCACGGACTCAGCCCCAGGCCAGGACCAGGACGGGCAAGGGGGCCCTGTGGCCAGCAGGTACATCCTTCACCTGAAGACTGCTGGGTCGGGACCACAGGATTGCAGCTCCACCCGGCGGGGCTGGTTGTTAAGGGCTGGATCTCCCAGAGCGGCATTGCTGCCTATTCCCGGCTCTGAGGGCTGGGACAGGGTTCAGCTCTGCACAGTGAGATCCCGCAGCTTCTGTTAAATACTCCACCTCCTGTTCAGTCTGCCCCAACCCCCAAACCCTGCCCGTCCCCCAACCCCCAGGCACACGCCGTCGCTTCCTTTTCAAGCAGAACTGAGAAATACTGAAGCGTGGACAGGAGACGGCCTTTGGGCCCCACAGACGCTGCTCCTCATCCCGCTGCCTTGGCGCAGACAAAACAGTGCGCGTTTGGTGGCTGTGCCCCTGGATTGGACAGCTGGAACTGCTGAGCCCTGGCGTTCCTCTGCGGCACCTGCCCTGCCCAGTGCGGGGCAGGCGGGCACAGGCAGGGTCTGTGGATTCCGTGGGGAAGGAAACGGAGGCTGCCTGCCCTGCCCTGGCTGGGCTTCAGGGCTCCTCGCCGATCAAGGCACCAGGAAGGGGAGAGTGGGGCCCGCCTGCCCCCAGATGTATCGCAGTGCCTGAAATCGCACCATTTCACCTCATTCTCTGGGCTTTAAGGATTTATTTCCTGGTTGGGGAGGCTAGGGGCAGGGAAGGAGACCCCAGGCTAGAGGCTCTCACCTGGTGGGAAATGACTGGAACTAGGGGGCTCTGGGGGGGTTAGGGACAGCAGCAGGCTGGACCACCCAGTCCAGCCCACGTGACCTGACAGTGGGACCAGGGGGTCTGGGGAGGGGAGGGAGGCACACCCGACTTTATCGCCCAAGGTTATCTCAGGGCCTGTGGAAGTTGGGGAGGGCTGCTCTTCTTGGCCTGGGACCTGCTGTTAAAAAGCCCAAGCTCTTAGGATAGAATGGAGCCAAAAAGGTAGCATCAGGGTCCATGACCTGGCCCTGTTCCTGGGACCCTTCCTTTACCTGGAAACCCAGAAGCTGGGAGCTGGGCTACCCTTCCCTGTTCCCAAGCACCAGGTGCTCACAGAGCTGGGAGTGACAGGTGCAGCGGTGGGCTAGTGTGTAACTCGGAGGGCCTTTCTCCCAGGCCCAGGGAGCAAGGCAGGACGGGTGTGCCTAAGGTCCCAGCACCTCCCTCAACTGCTCACAGGTAGTGTAACTGGCTCGGAGGTCCTGGGCACTGGCTGTCCTGTGTGTGGTGCAGGGTGGGCGCCTCCTGTTCTGGGAGTGACGTGGGCACCAGGCCTGCTTTGTGCCTGGCAGCCTGGCGTGCAGGGGCTGTGGGGACATGGGGTGGGGCGCCTTCTCATAGGGCCACAGCTGGGCAGGGGCTTGAGGATACCGAGGCTGGACCTGCCTGGCAGGTGGAATAGCCTGGTTGGAGGCTTGGGGGTGCCCATCCTGCCCAGAGGCCCCATTGGGGTGTTTGCCAGGTTGGGGGCAAGACAAGGGGCCCCATTGTCAAGGTCCTGGTGTGACCAGGGAATGGGACTTCCGAGGAGCTATGGAAATAGGCGTTTGCTGCCCGTGGAGGAAAGGTTGGTGTGGAAGAGGCAGGAACCCAGGAGAAAGTGGTGGGTGCCAGGGAGGAGGCTGTTAAAGGAAGGACTTGGCACCTGGGGCCGGCCCCGCCCCCGCCACCCTGCACCTCAATTTAGGAAGCAGTAGTTCCAGGAGACCTCAGTTTCCAGTTTGAGCAAGAGCAGGGCGAGGCCACTCCCTGGCACAGGGGAAGGCAGGTGGGCAGGGGACGGGCCACAGGGTTTGGCCGGGACCAGTGAAACCCACTGGGCAAGAGACTTTCTCCTTCGTCACATGCAGAGTCTCACGCTATGATTGGCCCATGCATGCCAGTCTGTGTCACCTCCCGGCTGCACCGGGCCTTCCAGGGTGACAGGCTGGGCTGGGCCCAGTGTGGGACGGGCCAGCCCAGCCACCCACCCACCTCATCATGCCTGAGACCTGGCTTTGCAGGGTGGTGCTGGCCTCATAGCCTGAGCTTCTTGGAAAGAAAGCAGCAGCTTAATTTCCTAATCTGATCAGGAGCCCCTTCCCCACACCTCCCCTGGGATATGCCTCCCCCAGGGGTTCCGGCCCAGGGCATGGCTGTTTGTCAACTTCCTCCAGGGGATCCCAGATTTCTGGCCAGACTTCCGGGTCCCTGTCCAGCCTCACTCTGGGAGGCGCTGGATCCCATTGTTCCATGTTTGTTTTGTTTTGAATTCATAATAAACACAAGTGCAGAGCTCTGAGCTTTGCCAGGCCCCAGCAGGGAAGGGGCGTTGTCTGGCTGGCCTTGGTCTATTCTGGTGAGTTCTGTTCTTGGGAGTGTAACCCCAGAGTCCTGGAGAGCTCCCTGCCCTCCTTCTCCAGGGACTCTGCTCTGCCCGCTGGGTCTCTGTCCGGGGCAGGCTGGCTTCCTGGGGCTTGTCACCTCTGTGCTGTGGCCAGGACACGGGTGTGCCACAGGCTGCCATTGCCCTCACAAGAAACCAGTAATCCACACTTAAGGGGGAAGCTACCACTGCCCTGAGGTCAACCGTGCTAGGGAGTGGGCCTGCTCCATGGGATGTCACACTTGGAGCCACATTGACGGTCACGAGATCCTGTGGGCAAATTACTTGCCTCACTGAACCTCAACTTCCCCATCTGTAAAATGGGATGATAGCTGTGCCTTCTTCAGTGTCTTGAGTGACAGGAGTTAGCAGATGATGGGGGTCACTGTACGGCCACAGGAGGGGTTTAGCTCCTGCCCTGCCATCGTGGCCGTGGTCACAGCCCACACGGCAGTCCCTAGACATGCCTCTGCCCGGTCCCTGGACCCTCTGGGGTCCGACACTCTTTGTGGGTTTCTGAGAACGGAGTTCCCAGAGCTGCGTGGAGGAGGCTGACCCCTCCCCCACCACTAAGCTCCCGTGGGAATTCTGGAGTGGTGAGGGAGAGAGCAGAGAGCCGCTGGACCTCCTGGACGAACTAGGGTGCGACTTCCCCACTTAGAGTAAGAGCTGTTGCGGTGGGGCTCTGTGCTGTGCGGCTCTGGGAGCCTGGGGATAGGTCTCCCTGCGGGGTTGCAGGGCCTGGCCCAGAGGAAGGTGTGCACAGGAGCCAAGGGACGCACAGGCATCTGGGGCTGCACCCCTGTCCAGAGCAGCCCATCCCTGAGGAGACACAGGGGGAACTTGGGGCCCACCAACCCCCTGCAGAGTCTCCACGCACACTGCCGGAAGCGGTGCCGTCTCGGCGGTGGTCACCAGTGCCAGTCTTTTTATTTTTTATTTTTTTTTTGACAGGCAGAGTAGACAGAGAGAGAGACAGAGAGAAAGGTCTTCCTTTTGCCGTTGGTTCACCCTCCAATGGCCACCGCGGCAGATCTGATGGCAGGAGCCAGGTGCTTCTCCTGGTCTCCCATGGGGTGCAGGGCCCAAGCACTTGGGCCATCCTCCACTGCACTCCCGGGCCACAGCAGAGAGCTGGCCTGGAAGAGGGGCAACCGGGACAGAATCCGGCGCCCTGACCGGGACTAGAACCCGGTGTGCCGGCGCCGCAAGGCAGAGGATTAGCCTACTGAGCCGCGGCGCCGGCCACCAGTGCTGGTCTTGAACCTGGAGCGGGCTGCTCACCTTCCAACAGGGAAGTGTCCCTTCTCGGCAGCCCAGCTTCTCACACTTGCTGCCTCCTGATGACGATCCTGCTCGCCTCTGTTTAACATGAGGTCCACGGAGAGCTCAAGTTGCAGCTTCTACCTCCTTCCCCGGGCATCCTGGGGGCTGCCACTCCCCCACCAGGCCTCCCCTTCGCCCTGGACCCTGGAAAGGGGCTGGCCTGGATGGGGACCGTGCGGGGTTTGGAGCCAGAGGCTCCAGGTCAGCCAGGTTTCATGACCTTCCACATGGAGCCCCTCCCTGCGTATGTTCCCCGGATGTTGCTGCTGCCGCCGCCAGTACAAGTGCCTCCAAAGCTGAGTAGGGGCTCCCTGAGCACTGGGAGAAGATGGGGCATGCTCTGTTGCTGTGGGAGAAAGGCAGAGGAAACTGGGTGTGTATTAAAAACAACAACAAACAAGCACACCAAGCCAAAGTGGCATGAACAGGGTCTGGATCTTTTTTTTTTTTTTTTTAACGTTTCTTTATTTTATTTGAAAGAGTTACACACACACACACACACACAAAGAGAGAAGGGGAGAGAGAGAGAGGTCTTCATCTACTGATTCACTCTCCAGTTGGCCGCAATGGCCGGAGCTGCACCGATCCGAAGCCAGGAGCCAGGAGCTTCTTCCGGGTCTCCCACGTGGGTGCAGGGGCTCAAGGACCTGGGCCATCTTCTACAGCTTTCCCAGGCCACAGCAGAGAGCTGGATGGGAAGTGGAGCAGCTGGGACTCAAACCGGCGCCCATATGATGCCTGCATTGCAGGCAATGGCTTTACCTGCTGCACATAGCGCTGGCCCCCAGGGTCTGGTTCTGACTCACTTCTCCCCCTCCAAGCCCAGAATGGCTCTGCAAGGAGGTAGATCTGGGCTTCATGACAGGAGGTCCCAGGTGAGCATCCTGCCACGCCTCTTACACAGGAGGGAACGTGAATGTTGTTGACATCCGGGGCCCTGGGCAGGACGCTGTGTTCTGTCTAAGATGGATGGCTTAGCCAGGTCCACGTCCCCTGTCTGCCCTGGCCTGGGGCCTCTTCTTTTAAAGATTTATTTTTATTTATTTGAAAGACAGAGTTACAGAGAGGCAGAGAGAGAGAGAGAGAGAGAGAGAGAGAGAGAGGTCTTCCATCCACTGGTTCACTCCCCAGATGGCCGCAACGGCCAGAGCTGTGCCTATCTGAAGCCAGGAGCTAGGAGCTTCCTCCAGCTCTCCCACATGGGTGCAGGGGCCCAAGCACTTGGGCCATCTTCTACTTTCCCAGGCCATAGCAGAAAGTGGGATCAGAAATGGAGCAGCTGGGACTCGAACCAGCGCCCATATGGGAGGCCGGCACTACAGGCGGCAGCTTCACCACTACACCACAGTGCCGGCCCCTGGGGCCTTTCATTTCTGAGCATCCTCCTGAGGACGCTGCCTGCTGCATCCTAGGTTCGTGGCTAGGATGCTTGCCTGTGCAGGTGTGTGCAGCCGGGGACAGCGGGAGCACCCTGGCGGCCCTTCCCCCAGGCCCCATTTCCTGTCTCTCTTGTCCCCCTGGAGCCTTCTGCTCCCACTGGCCCTCTCCTGCTTCCCTTTATGCCGAGGGTCTGCCTTGCCACAGCCTTGCCACTGCACGCAGCAGCTTCTTTCTTCCTGTGGTCTGCGCCCCCTGCCCCCGGCCCCGGCCCTGGACCCCGGGTCGACCACAGCCGGGCCTGGCTCTGGGCACTTTCCTGGTGTTCACAGGTCCAGGCATTGCTGTCTCTGACACCCACTGCAATGCGTGCGCTTCTGAGTGTCTCACTGAGGAGGGAGGCCTCGCCGGGGCTGCCCTGCCTGGTTTCCATGGCTTTTGCCCAGGAAGAGAAAGCAGCAGCCCGTGGTCTGGACCCTGCATACATGGAACCCTTTGCCCAGACTGGAAGGGCACCCCAGCAGTCCTGTGTTTTGCTGGTCCTCCTTGGGGGCGCCGGAGGGGCGCACTGGGTGGGTGGTGCCCACCCTCTGGACAGGTTGGGGTGCGGCCTGAGCCTCTGCACTGGTCCTGTCTGTGTGTCCGTCTCTGTGCACAGCTGGCCTTGTGTCCAGGAGCCAGGCTTGGGGAAGAGGAGGGGACAGAGACGTTTGTCTGACACTGAGTTATGTATGCATCTCTCTGCCTGGCCTGAGCAGAGCGGCGGGGAATGGGGTGGGGGCAAGAAGGGAGCCTCTGCTGGGGCTGGGATTTTCCACGCGCTGTCCCAGGAGCCCAGCCAGGAAGGGTGGACCTGCAGCCTGGCCCCAGGTCCCTTACACTGTCCTGGGGCTGGGCCCTCTCCCGTAGCCACCTGCCTGCCTCCCCGTCCCATCGTTCTAGGAGCCCAGGGTCTGGAAGGCCGTGGCCAAGGGGGTCACTTCGTAGGCAAGCCTGGTGGCTTTGTGAGCTCAGCTGTCCTCCCAGAGACAGGAGAAAGGGCTCCTGCTGAAGTCCCAGCCCCTGGGCACCTGTCCCTCCCTGGGGCGGCACCCCCCCGGGGGGGCGAGGAGAGGGGTGCGGCAGGAACCTGCAACCACAGGGGCTGGTGCCAGGGTACTGTTGGGAGGAAGTCGGATCCTACTTCATTGGAATTTTTGATATCTGATCATTAATCTTGATGTAGAAGTATTGCATTAAAATACGATTTATCTCGATTATGCTGTCTTTCAGCATCCCCTGCACCCTGCCTCTCCTCCTCCTCCCCACCCCCCTGGCACGTGCTGGGTGGCACTGGGGAGGAGGGCGCCCAGGGTGGGGGCGGGGGTGGGGAGAGTGGGCTGTGGATGCTCAGGTGGCCCCAGGAGGGAGTCCAGGCCCAGAGGGGGTCCCTGTGGTGTGGCCCGCGGGAGGACTCATGGCCCCCTCTGCCCCTGCCCCACAGTGGGGCCCTGGGCTTGGGGGGGGTCTTGAGGCCCCAGGAAAGGCCCCCAGCACCCAGTCCGGTGCCCACGCCTCCCTCGTGGCCCTCCCCTTCCGTGGATGCTCCGAAGGTTCCGGTAGAGTCACTGGAGGTGGTGCAGGCAGCTCTCGCTACACCTAGGACTCCAGGTGTGGGCGGTGCACCCCTGGGGCTGGCGTCATCCTCCTTCCTGCCCACACTGGGAGTTCAGTTTGCCTTCATCTGTGAGTTTACCTGGGCCTTTGGACTGCCTGCTGGCCCCACCCCTAGAGGGTTTTCTCCCTGGGGCTGGGGTGCAGGGGGAATGGGTGTGGACAGCCAGGAGCTCCCCCTGACCCCACCCTTCCTGGGTTTGAGCTGGGGCTCACTGCACATGGGGATGGAGGGAGTGGGGCTGAGACTCAGGGCCTTTGCCCACAACGCCCTGGCTGGCAGGGTCTCCATCCGGTGCCCCAGGAGGCGCCGGGGTGGTGGTAGCCAAGAGAGGGTCCAGGTGCCGAAGGCTGGGAGTCTTGGACAGAAGTGTGGCTTTGGTCTCCATTGCAGGCTTCCATGGCCTCTCCCTGGGGCTGACTCCCTTGGGACACTTTACCTGCCAGTAACTCAGCTGTGAGCCGGAAGTTAGGATGTTTACTTCCTACCTAAGAACTCAGGGTAGGCTCAGTGGCTCAGGGGGTCGCCCTGTTTCTGCGCTTCTGCTCTGCCATCTTGTAGGTGTTTGTGAGGGTTGTCCTCATGGTCACAGAATGGCTGCT